GGAACCAGGCTGCTGGGTTTCAAATACCAGTTTGGCTTCTCATTAGCTGAATGGCCTCTTTGGAGCCTTGGCTTCCTTGTCTGTGAAATGGGAAGAATGCCTGTCTCCTGAGTCTGAGGTAAGGATCGAATGGGTGGGTCCATTTGTGCCAAGTTCTCAGCCATGCCTGGCGTATTTGTGCATCTGGCCTCAAGGTGCAGGGGGTAAAGGGGCCCCGAAGTTCATATTGATCAGGGCGGGGCCGCAGGAAGTCCCTCTCCCTCCCACCGCAGTGCCAATCCAACCACCCATCCCAGCCTGCAGGCCTGTGGTTGTGTGGATACAACGCGGCACAGCACCAGCCACTTACCAGAGCTCAGGCACCTGAAAATCCTGGAGCTCAGCACTGAGCTCACTCTGACATAAATCAAGTGAAAATAAGCCAATTGCCCAGGTAAGAGGAGACTTTCCTATCGTCCGCACTGGGAATTGAGCCCTTGCAGCCAGCCTCCCACTTTCCCTTGTGCTGTTGTGGGTTAAACCAGGAGTTCAGGCAGCTGCCTGGCCAGAAACGCAAATGGAGGCTCTGGGGAGCGGGAGGGCACGACCTGCTCATCCTGTAGGTCTTGGCACACCCACAGCAGGCATGCTGTCTCCCGTCACCTTTCCGTTGAGCTCAGCAGGGCAGAGAACTACCCAGACAGGGGGAGCACGAGGAGCAGAGGGCTGGATGCTAAGCCAACCCCTCCTCGCTGCTGGAGCTCCCTCGCCTCGGCAGTGATCCCACCTCCCACAGTTTCTCAGGGCAGGGCAGCCATGTGTGTGAATAAGGGGTCTTCAGCACAGTCTCAGTGGGACAGAGGCCCTTGGAATCTGAGCGTGGGAAGTGACCTGCTCCCACCTCCCTGCACCTCCTAGAAATGCCTGGAGCTGTCCCCAGGGTCAGGCAGTGCCAGGTGGCCAGATGTCTGCTGCCCCAGGGAATGCCTCCCCTGGCCAGCCCATCCAGGATGTGTCAACAAACAGGCCACAAAGAAAAAACCTGCTGACATTCAGAGAAGGTGGAGCCACAGCAAACTGATGAAGGGCATGCACTGTTTCCAGAACAATCTGTCACAAAAGAAAATGTTACATCCTCACGCTGGGAGAGGCCCCTGAATGGAACTTTGTCCATCGGACAGTGACCCCCTTGGCTGCCCCAGCAGACGAGGGCCTTCAGGAGTCCCTTCCCAGCACTGGCCTTCAAAAGTGTCATTCTAGTTCTGACCCAGCTGGTGGGTTCATCCAAAAGGGCAGAGTGGCCACAAGACCAGGATGGACTGGAGCACAGAGACGCGTGCCAGGCCACACTGTAAAGGAGACAAAACTTCTGGGGCCAGAGCTAGCAGGTACTTCATCTCTCCCGCAGCCTCGGCCACAAACCGGTTTTGTCATCAGATGCTGTCAGGCTGAGCTGACCGTTGAGCACAGCTGTGAAGGGCAAACAAGGGCCCCAGAGGCCCTGTGCTGGGTCCTGGAAGTGGTAGGGCTGTCTCCCTGTCTTGATGCTGTTGGTGAGTGGGGGCCAGTGTGATGTGATGCTGAAGGCCCCACTCTGGTCAGCCAAACTGCCCAGGTTCAAGTCCTGCCACTTACTGGTTGTGTGACCACAGGCATGGCACTCTGCCCCCTCTGATCCACAGTTACCTTTCCTAAAAATGGGAATGACAGTAGTGCCTACTCTGTCCCGATGATGACCGGTTTGCCCTGGACATCCTGCATTATGTCATTATTAATTCTCTCTTTTTCACTCCCCAAAGGGAGCAGGTTGCAATAAATCACAAGGCTGCCGAGCTGTTTATCTTCCTGACTTATGCTGCCTGAGTACTGGGGACCCCAGTTCCCAAAGTGTTGGTCCCCAAATCAGCTCTGCTGGGCCCCCGAGTTGTTTGGGCCACAAACCCTGCTTTTCCTTGTTCTCTTCCGTCCTCCTCTTCCTCCCCTCTCCACAGCCATCCTCTCCTTCCTGCTTCTTCCCTGTTAGTGCTTTCCTGACTTCCCTGAGGGCTCCCCCTAACCCTGCACATTCGGATTGGACACTTTCTGGCTGTACCTAAACTATGCCTTACCAAATTTCTGTTAGAGGAAAGGAAACAATTTGAGATGTTCAGGTAATTATTTGCCCACTAGATGATGAGTGGACATAACGTGCCATTGTGTTTGTGCATGTGTGTGTGTGTGTGTGTTTTTTTAGTTTAAATAGATTAGTTTTTTTTGTGTGTGTGTGTGTGTATGATTTAAGAGGAAAAAGAGAAGAACAGCTTGAAATGGTCTATCAGTGCTGGAGCCTGTCTATAAAAACCACCCCAAAGGCTATTTTAGGGGAGAGCCTGGAGGCTGCTCTCTGAGCAGCAGTCTCCCCATGTGGCAGCGGAGAGAGAAAACTGAGAGTCAGGATCCCTGACCTCTCTCTGCCACCCACTAACCACTGGCACAGGACCATGATTCTCTGAAGCCTTAGTATGCCCATTTGTAAAATAGGGCACACTGTCCCTGGACCACCCAGATGCTAAACATTGCAAGATGTCCTGGCCCTATTCTTAGAATCCACAATGGCACTTGTGAAATCCCCGCAAATTCTGCAACCACATCTTTGGGACGGCCTATCCTTCCTTACAGCTGTAACACAGGAGGGAACAAGACCTGGGACAATAGAGCCCGAACTAAGTCTCACCCAAGGGTCATGGCAGATGCCTGAGCCTCCTGTGCATGGAGACCAAATATGCAATTGTTCTGTGTGGAAGAAAAGCAAGGGAGAAGGAGGGCCGTGAACCCAGTGGCTGACATGGCAGATCCCTGGGGAAGCCCCACCAACTCCTGGGCCATTTCTCCCTTCCCTCCCAGCACCCCAGCAGCCCTCAGGCTCCACCCCTCTTTCCCCAGGCAGGCTCAGAGAATTCCCAGCAGGAGGCTGGAGAGCTGGGGGCCACGACAGCCCCTGAGCCAGTGCCAGGCACCATCAGAGGCTCACATATCTCCCAGCATCCTCCACCCTGTCCCTGCCCCTAGGGGCCCCTGCCCAGCCCTGGAACTGGAGTCACCGCCATCACAGTATCTTTCTCTGCTCTGGCCTCTGAACTTTATTCAACGACCTGACTGGATCTATTCCATCTTTCTCTGGGTTCTAATCCCTAACCCAGCTCTTATGTGCTGTGTAATGCTAGACAAGTTGTTTAACCTCTCTGGTTCTTGGTTTCCTCCTCTACAAAATGGGGACAGTAGTAATAATCTCATCAGGCTGTTGGGAGGATCTAATGAGATATTGTGTGGAGATGCCCACCACGGGCCCTGGCTGTTAGCGGACTATCCCCCAACCCTCGCCCCACCCCTCGTAGAAATGGCTGTGGTAGAGCCCTCCTCTCTGTCCCCAAAGGCCCCCACATGGCCACTGCAATCTTCGGCTTCCCAGTTGTCCTCCTGCACCTTCCTTCCCTGTCATGCATCCCAGACACTGCTGCCAAATGAAAAGTTCTTCTGAACCCAGCTCCAGCACCGCCATTCCCCTTCTCAGGACCTGTCAAAATATCCCAGGCCTAATAATAAAGTTCAGGCTCCCTCGCCCAGCACACCAGGCCTCCCACCATCGATCACACTGACATTCCTCAGCACGGCGTCTACAACGCTTACCTGTGGCCCCAGACACACCCCACTGCCACAACTCTGCTCAGGTGTCCCTCCCCCTGGACCGCCCAGGCCTGCCTCCTCAGGTCCCAGCCTAGTGCCACTTCCAGAATGCCCTCCCAGTCTGCTCCTTACAGAGTGACTCCCTCCTCCACACTCCCCTGGACTCCCGGCATTTAGTCCTGAGAGATGAAGGCATCTCTCATACATGAAGCCTCTCATTCATCATTCAAGAAATGTACCCAGAGCAGCATTTAGTGGTCCACACAAACCCAATGAGGTCATGCATGTTAATTTCACCTAAAAAAGGGACAGGAACCCTGGGTGCTCAAACTAAAGTGCTCTTCTACATTGAGTAAGCTACTAGTTTCAGGCCCCTCGGCCCCCATCCTTGATAACAATTCTTTGGGACATGTAGGTGTCTTCCCATCAGGAAACTCACTGACTCAGGAGTAAGGTCCTTCCTCCCATGGCCCTTTCTGCCCTCTGGAATCTATTGCACAGAACTAATGCCGTTGGGATTCCTGATACCCTCCTCAGAGCCAAACACAGGGCAGGGGCAGGACAAGTTCAGGGTGTGTAAGGGGGCAAGTACATGGATTCAGAGGGCTCTCCTGCATGCTCGGGTATATCCACCACACTCCTGTGCACGCACGTGCACACAGTCACACATAACCACCTTTGCGCACACACACAGAGGCACACATACACACCTGCACACACATGTGTACGTACATATACACACATACAGTCACACATATCCACCTGCATGTCCGCACGTGCGTACACACACACACACACACACACACACACACACACACACACACACACGCACACCTGGGCCAGGGTCAGCACGGCCAGCTGAGTCACCCAGCACACCACACCACAGATGGGGCCAGGGAGGAAGTGAGGAAGTGCACCCCGGGGCAGCTCACTTCCTGACCTCCTTCCTTTGCTCTGGGAGGTTATCTTTCTGTATTTCTGACTCTCTGTCTCTCCCAGTTCTTTGTTTCTACACAGGGCGACAGGCCCCTCTGTCCTGGCTCACGTGGCAAGGGCCCCTGGCAGCGCTGCCTTGCAAGAAGGGAGCTGGGTTCTAGACTGAGGTCCTGGGCAAGTCACTTCACCCCTCAGAGCCTCTGCTTCCTCTTCTGTGGAACGAAGCGTCCGGGCGGGGCAGAAGGGTCGCTTCCTGAGCTCAGCCCCGGCGCCCCGGCCTCCCCCGGGAGCAACGAGGGAGCAGAGCCCCGGCAGGCCGGGCGGGGTGGGGCCAGCTGTTCCCGCGCAGCCTCCGGCCCTGGAACTCCCGCGCCGCGCGCACGTCTGCTCACTCCCGCCCCGCCGCCCGCTCCTCCACGTACCTTGGGAGGCGCCGCCTTCCCTTGCGCCGCCGACTCCGCTCACAGCCGACTGCCGGCCGGCTGCTTCGCCCGCCGCTCTCCGCCAGACCCCGGGCGAGCTGGGCCAGCCCCGGCAGCACAGGGGAAGGCTGTGGAGGCCCCGCTGCCGGGCCGCCGCCTCCTGGGCGCCCTCCGGGATGTGCGCGCCTTGCGGTGGGGTCTAGGCCGGCGGGAGGGACCTCAGACTGCCTGGGAGCCCGGGTGGCGAGGGCGGGGCTGTTGCTGACCTAGCCTGCCTGACTGGTCGGCCTCCTGGGCCCCTCTGCTCCCGAGTCCCCTTGTCCCCTTGCCCTGGATGCAAACAGTGCAACGTGCCCGACATTTCTGGAAACCTGGAGCATCAGTGTGGGCACCCAGGTCCACGCCAGCTGCTGTCTCTGGAGATTCAGTCCTCTTTACCGTTCTTTCTCTTCTCGATATTCTACTGTGCGCATGAATGTTTGTGCAATAAAACCATCTGATACATATTTATTAATAAAGCATTACATAAATCTCCAAAGTTCTGCCATGGCTTCCAGGTTGAAGAATAACCCTCAGGGCTTTCTACACACACTTTGTGGGCACCAGCTAAATTTCCAGCCTCACCCCTTCTCCCCCAAACACACACATGCACCCCTTCTCCAGGCACACAGGCTGGAGTCAAACACAAGCTGCTGGGAGCTCTTGCTTTCCTACTTTACCTGGTGAAATCCTGCTTGGCATCCAGACCCCACTGAAATGTCCCCTTCTGGGTGCATCCTCACCCAGACACTGGCCCCACCAGAACACACAGCCCCCTGTTGGTAAGACCATGGATCGCAGGTGGACATACATGTTAGCATCCTGCTCTCCCTCCTCCTCGCTGGCTCCTCCCTCCACGCTAAGCCCTGTTCCGGGACAGGAAGGCATGGACCTGAGCAGCTGTTACAAACTGCCCCGTGGTGTCCTCGCCTCCCTTGAAGCTCAGTTAGCCACTAGCTGGTAACCTCCCTTCACCCACCCAAGTGGAAGGGCTGTTCCAGACCCCCTCTGCACCAGTCAGGAGGCTGTCAGGCCACCTCCCCAGCCCTCCTTCTGGTGTGCCAGGCCCTGTGCGCTGGTCTTTTCCCTTCCTGTTCTGGGGTGTGTTTGTGTCAGCTCCAAGGTCAGAGTGGGTTGCCTTCTCATTCTGAATCTTGCTGCTGCTCAAGTGTACAACTTCAGTAACAAAACAGGTTGCCCTGGGTGCCTGGCCCTTCTCTCCCTGCTGCTTGAGGAAAGAAGGAACTTTCCTTATTAGAATCTGAGAAATGGAAGAGTCTTTAGAGATTACTGAGGCAAAGCCTAACCACCCCATTTTATAGAGGAGAAAACGGAGGCCGGAGAGGTGAAGCGGCCTCAGAGGCGTCCACCATTGTCCTGTGTGTCGTTAAATGTTATGAAAGCCGTGGCCCTGCAGGCTTAGATTGTCTTTCACTTCCAGAGGGACTCCGAGAGTTGCCATGTCCCACGAGGCACTAACACAGCAGTGGGGAGCCACTCATTTTGGAGCCCAAAGGTCTGGGCTTGCACCACGGTGCCCCAGCCTGTTGGCCATGGCCCTGGCGAGTCACCAAACTTCCCTTCATCAGTGAAATGTGGATGGTTCCAGTTCCTGCAGCATCGGCTGTTCTAACAATTTAAACAAGTGTGTGTCTTTAAAGGGTTTAAAACAGTAGCTGGTACATGAACACCAGGTGTTTGCCCTTACTGATATTTCTATTATTATGAATTATATTATCTTAAATTATATATTAATTTAATTGTATTAATTATATATAAAAATAATTATCTTATTTCACAGGTGAAGTAACTGAGGGTTACCCGAAGGCTGAGACTCGCCCACGGGATTGTTGCTAGTGGGTGTGAGTTTGCTTTTTCCATCTGACACCATTCTGCTTCCTGTCGGATCCCATCATGAGATGGAAAACCACCCCACATGTGTCCAGGTCCATCTCACAGAGCAAAAAACAACTAGCCCCTCTCAGCACACCTAGACGTCTCGTGGTACAAACACTAACCCCACCTCTGGGTTGATGGTGATGTCTGGTTGCCAGGCACTTGCCTTCATCGAGCACTGCCCCTGCGGCTTCCTTCAGAGTCACAGAAGCATGGCAAGTGAGAGCTGAGAGGTCAGCTTGTGCACAGCAGAGGAGAGGCAGGCAAAGGGGACTCTCCTCATGAGTGGATATAGGAAACAGGCACAGCAGGCATTCACTGATTGACCTCAGGCTGTGCAGCCAGCCTGGAGCTCAGGAAGCATAGGAGCCCTACTTCCTCTTTCCCCAGGGCACATGGCTCCTAACCCCGTGCTGCAGGAGAAACCCAAACTCCTTCATTTAAAGAGCATTTATTGTGCAGCTCTGAGGTGATGAGTAAAAAGCTAGGCAGGGCCAACCTCGGGGTCATGTGTCCCATGAAACTGCTCCCTGAAAAAGGCCTCATGCTTGGTGTTCCACGTTCAACTGTCACCTTCTCGAAATTTCTTAGTAAGTCTTGAACAGGGAGCCCAGCATTTTAATTTTGCACTGGACCCTGTAAATTGCATGGCCAGTCTGGACCTAGGCCCTTCCCTGGAGTATCTCAGTTTGCAGGAGTCACTAGGTGACTGACAGATGCAGTGGTGTGGGGAAGAGGCTGTGCAGAGGCAGGGGAGCTCTGGGGTCCAAGACAGGGACTCAGCCAGTCTTTGGCTTACTCAGGCCACCTTCCCCAGCTGCCTGCCCAGCCGCCAGCTGCTGGCCTTGATCCTCTTTGCTGGGAGAGTGGCCTTGGTTAGGGGCCAGGGCCTGTAGCCCCAAATAGCTGCAGCAGACCCCACCATCCTAATATTCCTGACAATTCCAGGAAACGTGTTGGAGCCCCAAGCCTTCCTCGTGTCCTCCACCCACCCCTCACCTTTCACTCAGATTTCCACTGGCCTCTGGTTCCCTCTGCCTACCTTCAGGAAAAGGGTAGAGAAAGTCACCCCCACTGAAAAGCAAGTGGCAGTTAAAACCAAATGAGCCGTGCATCCAAAGGACTACTGGGTTTTATTAGGGATATTTGTGTATCCCTCAGACTGACATGCCTGACATGTAACAGACATCTGATTCACCATAGTTGAGAATGAAGGACAAATGCATATGCCAAAGCCTAGAAGAGGTAAGTCACAGTTCACTGGCCCACGAACCCGGGCTTTTTGTTGTGTTTTGTTTAATTTGTTTTTTGGAAGAGTGCCAGAGGCCTTGACCCAGTGGTTTGGGAGCCTTGAGAAGAAAGAAGATGGGCAAGGAAGGATGGACTGTTCTCAGGGAGCTGCCAGGAGAAGGAAGGGGACAGTGTGGGAGAAACGCAGAGGAGACTTGAATATCTGAAGATTGAGGTCAAGGACCCGATGACAAAGTAGGGATGGGGAAAGAGGCAGGCAAAGGCCCTGGTTCAAGAAGGGACTAGGGACTGCAGCAGCTATTTGGAGCTACAGGCCCTGGCCCCTAAGTCCCTTAAGTCTCCACTTCAGCCCCCAGGTCTCAGAAACAGGACAAGGGAGATGAAGATGGGTGAGGATGGGGAGCAAGGCCTGGCAGGACCGTGGGTGGAGCTCCTGGGCAAACGCCCTGTTTTCTCTGTGATGCGGAGAAGAGGTAATGGCTGGAGGGTCTGGGTGGACCAGGGGGGCAGGCAGCATTTAGACACTCATGCTGTGAGTTGCTGGTTTCTCAATGGTGGGGGACCCAATAGGAGAGAGCAGCAAGTGACTTGGAGAGCACAGGAACCCAGAGAGGGCTGCCTCCTGGGACCCCTTTGAGCTTCATGGCACCCTTCCTGCTGGCGTTTCTGTTGTCCTGCTCAGGTGCTGCGCTCCACTGTAACTGAAGGCCAGCTCAGCTGGCTTGATCCTCCCTGGGGAACAGTGGAAACATTCACTGTGCCAGTACAGGACTTCCCTTACTGTCCCCTCTTCCTTATCATGAATGTCTACGATTACAGTTCCCAACAGGTGGAGGCCAAAAAAACAAACAAACCTTTTAATATTGACTCTTCAGGCTCCATGCAGAGCAGCAACACCTACCCCACCTCCCAGAGCAGCCCCAGCAAAAGCCAAGTCCACCAGCAGCCCAGGCTTAGAGGGTTCTGGCTCTCCTGGAGCAGGTAGACACCACTGGGAGATTGTCTGCATCCATACCTCCCACTTTCCTCTCCTTAGACATTGGGCTTCGGTGGGAAGGAGACATCCTTCCATGAGATTGCAGGGGCCAGTTGTGTCTACATGCTCATAGCTGTTATTGAAAAAGAAGGCTGGACTATAAGAAAAATAGGCCTTCTTGAGGGTATATATGAAATCCATGGACTCCCCCTATGGAATTCACAGGTCTGGAGTTCCTCAGAAGCAGGGCAAGAGATGAGCATAACTTTCTATTTCTCTCCAGCTGCAAGAATGGACTTCATCATTCCGATGGGATCATAGTCACAGAGCCGGAAGAGAACCAAAAGTCAGGGAGCCAATCCCACGTATTACAGGTGAGCTGACCAGGGTGCAGGAGACTTGGCCAGCAGGAGTGGTGACAGATGTGGGGTTTCCTTCCATCTCCCCTACAGGTGGCCTCTGAGAGACGGAGTTCCTGATGCCACCTTGTGTCGGATATTGTTTTTTCTGTCAGGAATTTCTGAACCCCATGTTTACAGAGCAGGGAAGAAAAATATCATATAATCATACATTATATAATCAAGGATGTCCCTTACTGGACAGTAGAAACCATAGCATTACTTCTGCTAAAAAAAATTTAAAGACTCTATAATGAGTAATAGGTTGGCCAAAAAGTACAGGAAAACAGAGATAGAATTAGCTCCTCTGGGAGTGATGAAATCAATGTTTTATAGCTACTATTTTGCTACTTGTAGAATTTTTGAGAAAGGAAGGTACAGCTCTTTGTCCCCATAATTTTACTTTTTCATGCATGCATACACGTGCAAAACCCTAACCACCGTCTCCTGGTTGTTAATGTTATAAATAAGGAAATAAGAAACAGGAAAGTAAAACGGGGGTGCTGTAAGCCAAGGAATGTTTTCAGGCCTAGGGTTTAGTGGAGCCAGCTAGCCCCTTAGAACAGTGAGGACAAAGGCCGCTGCTATTTACATATGGAGTGGCTCCTGATTACCTAATTCTTTCCTCAACAAAAGTGTGTGAGGCACATCACCATTGGGGGAAGAGGTTTTGCTTTGGTAAAAGACAAAAAAGGCTTGGATTTTCTAAGCTGGTGCTCTTAACCAATAATAGATTTGGGACATCAAAAATTACACTAGCTGGCATTTGGGAATTTCAGAAAACATAAGTTAAATGACCTATTTAAAAAATATAGTTACCTCTTGACTCATTAGAAAACAGAAATAATTAAAACAACTGCTTAATATTATTTCTAGGACAAAGAACACAGAGGCTATAAATAGCTAACTAGATTAAAATGAAATATC